CAGGGTGATGATCGATTGCCTGGCACAGACAGGATGTTGACTGATGTAGCAATGGTGCCACCCATTCTGATGGCAGGGATAAAGTCAATGGGTTATAAATCCAAAAGGAGTGACCGCACTCTGACTGGAGCAACCTTGGAAATGAAGATACTCAGCCAATGTGGAGAAAGTACCATGAAAAACTTTAAACCGTCTCCCATGAACCGCGGAAAGGGAAGTGTCGCAGGACAACTGGTACCAGTGGAGTATAACCGACTGACAGTGTCGGAGACTGTGTCAATAGATGAACCCGCTGGTGGATACATGGAGATGTTGGAGTACCGAAACTCGGCTAGAGGATACTTAATGGCTCTGGAAGACAAGATTGCCATGGAAGGTTATCTGGAGACAATGCTGCAAGGCACCACCCTCAAGCAGAAAGCGTACGGGACTCTGGCGTCGTCTGAGATGAAGGCAGAAACGATGGAGCAATTGGTGAGCCTTCCATGGAAAATAGTGGTGTTACGGTACTTTGAAGAAGAGATGAGGACTACGCCAAGAATACACGCTCTCATGGCAGTACCTTACGTGAGAACCGAACTACAACTGAGGTTCGCCTGGTGCATGATGGGATTGAATCGCGGGGAATATGACTCAGAAGAAAGGAAAAGGTCAAAAGAAGAGAAGGTATTCCTGATGACAAACTTGAGGGATCTGATAACACAAGAGGGAGCAGCAGTAGCGTGCGCGAAGCGGAGAGACGCTCTCTGTTTCATTCGGTTCATGATAGACCAGATTTCAGTGCCAGCAGTGAACACTTATGTCAAGATGCTGAGGGAGGGCGATGAACGAGTATAAGCCTTACTCTTGCTAGCGCTGCTGGATATGCATCAAAGCAAGCCAATGAGGGTGAATATGAAAGAACCTGAAGAGCTAGAACCCATGAGAAAAATAGACGAAATCAGGAGATTCTCAAACAAGGAGCTGAGACTCACTAAAGAATCTATGGGGGCATTGCCGAAATCCAGTGAGTACTGTGGACCGATCAGGAAGAAGTCATACAGCTACGTGTCCGGAATCATAGGGATAGCGTACAACCCTTTCCTGAGCTAGACATACGCGATTGCTTCTTTGATTACGAGCAGGCAGTGTTGCTAAGGTTCTGGACTTCCAGAATTGTAATGATTAAAAGCGCATCTAATCCGCAGACCAAATTGGGACTAGTCTTGGAAGAAGAGGTGACTGCACCTTCCGTGCCAAAATCCGACAAACGAGCGGAGTTTGTGTTGGGATTCTCAGATGAATTACTAAGAACGAGCTTGATGGTAGTGTAAGAACTGATGAGACCATCATGGTGTCCTAGTCCCAACGCTGACTCGATACTACGGGCGACTCAAGATGTGCAGAGGGAACTAAATGCAGATTGTAACCTCCGTGACCTTAACATCATATATAATGTGATGACAACAGCCTCTAGTAGCAACGGAGAAGACAAAGTGGAGTTTCCTGGCTGGGGAACAGAAGACTGGGTTAAACCTGGTCGCTGTCTGGCGGAAGTCTGTGGACTGGAAGGTCACGTTTTTGGAGGTCTGGATTGCGTGAAAACCCTAGAGAGACAAAACAAGCAATTGACGATATTGTTTGGGAACGTTGTGATGAAAGCAAGGACGGAAACGGAACTGATCGCAGATTGCGATGGAGGAGCTGAGGTGAATCTAGTGACTGCACTAGGAATCTAGAGCATGTTTGGTTTTTTAGAGTCACTATTGAATCTAGAACAGAAACATGAGATGGTCACAGCCATCAGTGTAGAAGTGTTTCCAGGAGTTTTTCAAATTGAGCAGAAGCACCTAGGAAAATGGAGGGAAGTGATCGAGGCGGAAATGAACATCCGATACACTGAAACTTATCGTAGACCATCAGGAGCACGATATTTGGTGGGATCGACATTAGCTCCAATGTGCAAGAGCAGATACCCGGTGCATTTCGTAGCTGTGGATGTAAAGACTACGAGAACGATCGTGGATCAAGCCTTCTCAGTGCCAAAGTGTGTGACACTAACGAGAATGTCGGAAAAATCTTACGAGTTACTGTGCAGAGAGAACAAAGGAGGAGTTGGAATCGATACTGGGAAGGAAGTTCATGGGATATGTGAGTGGGAACTTCAGTGACTTTGAGAGACAGAAACAGAGAGGATCAACTGTTACAGATTACAATACAGTAGACGAGAATGATGACGTCCACCGAGTGTTGATGGAAGTGGAACCACTGCTGGAAGCTTCGGGAAAGTGTAATTGGAGGAGCATCATGTTGACACATGACGAGTTTCCCTGCCACTGCTTGCTGCAGACCTGGTGGTATCCCGAGCGTAGTAATCTGGTGTTGATCTGGGACTCTGTAGAGCTGCTCTCCATGGGTTTACCAGACTCATCACGGGCCATAACAATAGTAATAGTGGGAGTTATGATGGCGATACGATGGCTGGAAGCTCATGTGAGAGAGAACAAAAGCCAGGAAGAGCCAACGAGAGAACAATTGCAGATATTGGGTTGTCTAAAAGATTTAGATCAATTCGAGACAATGTGCAAGATTCTGAACATTCCGATGGAAGTGAAAAAGATATGGGCAAGAAGACGATTGATGCCATGGTTTAGAGCCAACATGACTGCATGGTTGTACGAATATGTCAAAAAGCATATGTCGAAGCACGGCAGAGTGTACAGCGGATATCAGTTGGACATTGGGGCAGGAGCTTTCAAGCGAGCTTTCGTGACTCATCGGAATGCAGTGACCATCGCTGTGAAAAGAATTTCCGGGACAAGTGAACGTAGTGGAAAGGAAAAGGAAGACATGTTGAAGGAAGATTTGGAATGAAACGTGACGTTGTGTCTCAACAACAGCTTCTGCAGGAACAGAGAATCTAATGTGGATCCCCTACCTTGTTTTAAACAAAGGTTAGAGGAGCAGAAGTGTTGGAGGCTGCTTCCAACAGCGTCAGAATAGCTAACGATGTGTTGCAAGACACAGAAACTGAAAGTGCAGAGTCAGTGTCACAGGAGGAGGAGATGGAACGTTGACAAATGTCCGAAAAACAATATGCAAAAAGAAAAAAAATTAGACGAATTTAGAAATTTTAGAATTTCTAAACGACAAAAAAAGGAGAAACAAAGAAGTGACCAAAAGGAGAAGTTAAAACTCAGAGTTGTTTTATGTGTGTGACAAAACCTCAAGTGAGAAACCAGGCAACCAAGTTGTAATTGAAAACTGAACAATTTAGTTGAGTTTTCAACATTAAAGAATTCGTCGCATTTATAAATTTGCATTTTGATTTTATTTAGTGACTTTAGAGACACTTACTATTTATTTAGAAAGGCTTGAGCAAAGAGTATATTTAAATATTCCAGTCTGCATGATTGTTTTTAATCAACTAGGTCGACTGATCACTTTGTGGTGACATGGAAGACTTGGATGATCTCTTGAAGAGGGAGATTGTTTCATTGTTCTTTCTAACCACAGAGTTCTTAATTTTAATATTCAGGACAATAACAAGCAAGATTTCCGAAGTGAAGAAGCATAGTAGGATAATTTTAGCTTGTTGGTTGGCAGGACTGTCCTGCAAGCCAACATCTTTTAAAAATCTAGGAGAAAAAGTTTTAAATTAGGATATTGACATTGGAAGTCAGAAAAGATGTTTTATCTTAAGTCATATCCTCAAGGTGCAGATAAGTGAAAGAATTTGGAAGGCTATAGCAATGTAGTATGATGTCATTTATATTCTGCAGTGAGTCGATATGACGCGGATAAAAGTAATTTCGTGCATTTTGTAAATTCTGTTCGATGACACTGTACCAATTTTACGAACATTGCGAGATTCAATGGGTACATTGACCGGGCTGTCCGGGGAGTTTGTGACAGTCGACCAGAATGAACGAAAATGCAGATTCGAAATGTTAGCAGCTAACTTTCCGTATTGACGATTTTAAGAGATTAACAACGTTATTGGGACGATTAGTCAAACAGTGAAGGTTGAGATATTCTGGTAATTTGAAATTTTAAAAATTCGAAGTGATGACGTAATAATTCTGAGAAACGTCAAAATCTGCCATTTTAGAAGAAAACCAGAATAAAATCAGAACAACAATAGTTGCGACGAAAATTACTAGGTGAAAATAGAGAATCAAATCGGATAAAAAGCAGAATTAGCAGAGACCGTTCCCAAATTGCAACTATTGTGTCGCTACAATAGTTGCAAGGCCGTTTGCAACAACGGTGAAGGGTGGAAAACCAGCTTTCCGGAAGGAAGATAAGGGTCTTAATTCCCCGGATTCAAGAATCCGGAGGGGTCTCGGGACTGGAACTTATATCATTTTATACAAAAATTTAGCTTCCCTATTATGTCCTGAATTGAATTTATTAACATCTGAAATCATTTTGCAAGGATGAGCAGCTAGGAGTTGGGGGAAAGGGTTGATCCATCTTCGATGAAGATGATGATTTTTATCTACTGAACAAAAACAATAATAGTTCAATATATAGTAGAGCCCTGATTTTAGGAGTGATCTAGTGGTCTCGGGATACTGAGAACAAGCCATGAGCTCACTATTTTTGCATGTAGTCAAGTTAATCTGAGTGTTTTGACCGAAGCCGAAAGTAGTAACGTTTTTGTCGACCCGATGTTAGAAAGATCACCAAAAGAACTGGCTTTGGTAGAGACGGTTAAAAGCATGTAAAGCTCTGTTTAGACGTTGGCCAGTCGTCTTAGGACCTAGCTTTATTTTCCGTCGATATGTACTTCCGGGCGAATGTTACATAGTGGCCTTCAAGCTGTAACGCGGGTTTTAGTCTCATGTCGCAAGTGAACCGACTGCTTCAGGTAGAAAAACACAAGAGATAGTGTCCCTGACTCTTGAGCCAATGGTTATAGGGCTCATTTTTCTTTAACCTCATGTGACTTAAATAGGCGACTGTTACAGAACCAATCATTATTAGTTCTGTAACAGTCGCCTATACAAAGCCTAATTGTTGTGATAAACTTATTAAATAGATTTGTTATGTTTGATGTTTGTGCCTGTATGTGCCTCTGAGGGATTTTAGAGACAGGTCTGTCAAGTGGCTTTCTGTGGAGAGGTGGGAAACTGGAACTGACTTGAGGAGTCTGGTGGTGCGCCGCTGGACCTACTGAGCTCGGGTGAGATTGTTCCTTGTTTTTGATTTTTATAATTCGATTTTAAAAATTAAATTAATTTAGTTGTCTTTTTTTTTATTTGCTGATTTGTAAAATTCCTACTAACCGCTTATCATGGGTTAGTTCAGTCTCCTAAAGTCCAGTCAAAATCCTTTTTTTTACCTTTATGCTGCGTCAAGATGAGGAAAAACAACAAAGAGTGTACAAGCAAAGATTGCTTAAAACCTTCAGGACTGATAAATTGGGTTAGATGTGATTGTTGTTCTAGTTGGTATCATATCAGTTGTGTAAATATTTCTCTTAGCGATTCTAAGAAAACCCAATGGTTTCAGTGTCCTTTATGCGTTGATGTAAAATCTGTTAGTAAAGCAACAATAAGTAATGATTTAGTGCTAGACAATTATGTTAAAACAGCCATCTCAAATGAACGAGTACTCAAGAGAGTACCAAAAGACTCGCGTGTTTCCATGGCGGAAAATCTGTCGGACAAAATAAATGACATCGTCTACAATGTAGAAGACGTTACAAAGTGGCTAATTTTTTTAACGTCGTTCTTGTTTTTTGGAGCAACCGAAAAGAAGTGGACGCAAACAGACCACAAGCATGAGCTCTTTGATAAATAAAAAAATTCGAGCAAATGACGTGTCACTTCCAAAACCCCATCCCCAAGTTTCAAGCCCGCCTCTGAGTGACCTCGAGCAGAGAATAAATTTAATAAGTAGTAAGCTCGATGAAGGAAATGTAAAGGGAGGAATAAGGCTTGCTGCTTCGGATGACAAAATAGCTCCTTTTTCAACTGATACTTATCAAAAATTGTTGTCTAAGCACCCGCAGCGAGCCAAATTTGCAGCTCCAAATCCAGAAAAGTTGGATAGTTTTTTCGTAACCGATTTCGACCTATACAAAGCGATAATATCCTTTCCAAACTGATCAGCAGCAGGTCCTGATAAAATAGTTCCTCAAATTTTTAATGATCTTGTTAGTAAGTCGAATGGCAGTGAAGGACTTAATTTTCTGAAATCGCTTACTAAGCTGATAAACCTCATTGGAGATGGCAAAATACCCGAACCACTAAGACCTTTCTTTTTTGGCGCCAAGCTCATCGCCCTCATAAAGATAGACGTAGGGTTGAGACCGATTGCCATAGGCAACACGCTGAGACGTATCGCGTCTAAATGCGCTGGAAGCAAGGCCCTCTCCGAGCGACAAAATTTTTTCGGAAACGTACAGGTAGGATGCGGTACCAAACGAGGAGCAGAAATAGCTGCGCACTCGTTTCGAAACCTAATTGAACGCGACGACAATCCAAAATGCACTGTTTTTTTAAAACTAGATTTCAAGAATGCCTTTAACTCTTTAAACAGAGAAACAATGCTGAATCATGTTTATTCAAATTGCCCCGAATTGTATAATTACACCCATTGTGCGTATGGTAAACCTAGTTACCTTTTTTACGGAAGCTCTGTCATAATGTCAGAAGACGGAACTCAGCAAGGTGATCCTGAAGCCCCACCCCTTTTTGCGGAAACAACTCATACACTAGTCAAACAGTTGGAGTCGAAAATTAACATCTGGTGTTTAGATGATGGGAATTTAGCCGACGACCATAAGGTAGTACTCGGGACCTTAAAAACATTCTGAGATCGGAACAAATTTACGGCCTGAGCTTAAACACTGAGAAGTGTGAACTTTGTTTTTTGGGACCGACTACTAGTACACAGTATAATTCAATTTTAACAAAACTTCGAAAAATATGCCCCAAAATAAAAATAAAAACACAAGAAGAACTCCTAATTTTAGGATCTCCAATCGGCGAGCTTTTCCAAAAAGAATTGCTCGACGAAAAAATTAAGGAGCTTGAAAAAATCTCGGATGTCATTGACAAACTAGACGCCCATTATGGTTTTTACCTCCTGAAAAATTGCTTTAGCATGCCAAAACTCCTATGTTTTTTGCGTACAAGCCCTTGTTTTTTGCAAAATGATTTTTTGGAACGCTACAAAAAACTACTAAGAAATTCGTTATGCAAGGTCACTAACGTGAAAATGGATGATAACCAGTTTTTACAAGCAGCTCTCCCGGCAGCCAAAAGTGGCTTGGGCGTTTCTTCCGCTCGTCTACTAGCTTTACCCGCTTTCCTAACCTCAGCAGTAGGAGCAAAAGATGCATTGAGCGAAATCTTTGGTTTGGAGCATGTGGATGGAACCTATGATGATGCGCTTAAACGGTGGTTTGACCTTGGAAAAATTGAAATGGCTCCGGAAATGACTCGAAATCCAAAAAAATTGGAAGGAGCCAATTTTTGACAGCGAAATTGCAGACTTGATTTTACGACTCGAACCAACGGACGTAAAAAGGTTCAACGCGTTCCAAGATAGATTTGGCTCCCAATGGTTGAACGTCAACCCGTGCAAAAATTTAAGGTTAAAACTGTCGAACCAACAACTCAGAATTGCGATAGGACTTCGATTAGGATCAAAAATAAGCGAACGGCAAAAATGCGTGTGCGGAAAAGACGTTATCGAGGATGGACTTTCTTGCCTCAAATTGCAGGGAGATTCTCGAGGCATTCAAACCTGAATGCCCTTATAAAGCAGAGTCTATCATCTACTCACATTCCGTCTGTTTTAGAACCCCGACACCTCTACAGGACCGATCAGAAGCGACCAGACGGTTTGACGCTCGTTCCATGGGCTGATGGTAAGCAGCTCTTGTGGGATGCAACGGTAGTAGACTCCTTAGCTCCTTGTAGGATTAATGCCGGGTCTGTTTGTAACCCTGGTACGGCTGCCGCTGAAGCGGAAGAGCGAAAAATTGACAAGTAAAAAGATCTTGTAAATGATGGATATCTTTTCAACCGCTAGCTTTTGAAATTCAGGGCGCGGCCGGCCCCAGCACAGAAATTTTTTTGAGCAAGCTTTGTAAGAACCTAAGCATATGCACTGAGGAACCCAGAGCAGGTAGCTTTTTAAAACAGAGAACCTCCCTGGCAATACAGATTGCGAACGCCGCTTGCGTACTCGGAACAATAAATGACAAAATAACTTTCGACGAAGTTTTTTATTTGTAACACTTGTATATTATATTATCTCGTGTCGAGTTGCGTGTTCTTATTGAAGAAACGTAACCCGTATCAATTTTAATTGAAAAGGACATAAACACTTGTCATCTTCTTTTATCATTATCACTTCCATATCTAGAAAATTCCTAGGTTTTTGACTGGAATACATGATGAAGGGACTCATGACTGTAACCTTGGTTACTATGATACTTTTGACCTTCTGATTACCTTACAAATAAAAAAAGAAAAAAAATCGTTATTACACTTAACTGTATTGATCTATCCTTTTTTACAGTATTTCAAGTGTTTTTTCTAAATTGAAAAATACTGAAAGATATTATGATTATTATTATTATTATTATGATTATTATTATTATTATTATGGATTCAGCTATTAGAGCTTGGATGTTTCCATCCTTAAGTTTCAGCGTCATGCAAGTTTCCATGTCGAAATATCGTTGTAACTATAGTTTGTCATGAAGTAATTCCAGAAGTGCTTCAGTAGTCGTGGTTTGAGTCCCTGATGGTTGGAGTGGTCGATTGAATTTGGTAAGATGTTCACAAGTTTGCAGGTTCTGAGCCAAAACTCCTGTTGGTAGATAGATTTCTTTATTTTCGGCAGTTCGAAAAAAGGTTTCTCTGATAACCGGGTGGCTCTGTCGAATTACTTTAAACAAAAATACTCTGTGGCATCATTTTTATGTTAACCATTCAACATCTTGGACATAAATAGTAGATCCAATAAATGCATATACAAGGTCAGCGGTAAAATGTTGCATTGCATCAGATTTGTTACGTAGTCGTTCCGGCCATTTACCCATGTCAGTGCTTTCTCTTGCACTTTTTCGATCAATCTAAGCATTTTAATGCTTGCTGCTCAGCAACTTGACCCATATAACAGCACTTGTAAAATCATCGATTTAAATATATTAAGTTTCACGCGCATTGGTAGTCCCTTTGAAGTGATTCGTTTCAGCATGTAAAAGGTCTTAAGGGCTTTGGAAATATTATTGCTTATAGTTTCATTCCATTTCATAATCCGCGAGACTAATAACCCAAGATCTTTCTGTACTTCAACTTCCGGTGTTGCAATATTCTTGAAAGTCATTTGGTTGCATTCACCTGTAAAGCTCATGTAAGAGCATTTACCAACATGCAGCGGTTGTTTGTGAGATGAACTCCATTTGAACACTCTGTCTAGATCAGTTTGAAAAATGTTGCTCTGTTGATTGATTTTAATGAATTTGACATCATCGGCGCATATGAGAGGTGTAGAGAATTTACATTGCGACGGTATGTCATTTATGTAGATAAGAAATAAGATGCTTGCTAAAATTGACCCTTGTGGGACACCACTGTTTAATAATCTTTCTGTGGATAATTGATTTTCTACCCTTATTTTGTGGGTACGTTTGGTAAGATACGAGCTGAGTAGTTTAAGCAATTTCCCACTTATACCGATATCTTGATTTTTGCGCAGCAATAATTGATGGTCTACCCTGTCAAATGCCTTTTCGTAATTTGTGTACACAACTTCTACAGATTTTCCATCATTGATTGCTTTATAGACCTTGTTCAGATAAACAATCATTTGAACTACGCATGATCGTTCTTTGCGGAAACCGTATTGCTGATTGGAGATGAGCGGCTCGAAAAATTCATAGATGTCGAGGAACATACATCGCTCAAAAATTTTAGATACGATTGCAAGTAACGAAACCGTTCTGTAGTTTTCCACCATATATTTACACGATTTCTTATTAGTCGGGTTAACGATCGCGCATTTCCAATAGCTGGGGAAACTGCAGGTTTGTTTGATCTTATAGAAAAGAACATTTAGTGATTTAGCGATGTTTTTTGAGCAGTTCTTATAAAGAATTGCGGGTATTTTATCTGGGCCACTTGCTTTTGTACAGTCCAGAGTTCTGCAGATGTTTTGTATGCGTTGCTCCGAGATATCAAAATCATCTAATTTCGTGGTTGATAAGTTTTGAGGCTCACCAAGACTTGGAGGATCGGAGGGTTTTGAGAAATTATCGTCAAAGAAATCAGCAAAAAGTTCCACTTTTTCGGCATTTGATTGAGCTTCTTTGCTACCATAAATAAGTTTTGATGGTACTCTGGACGACTTAAATGTACGGTAAAATTTGAAAAGCTTATCAGTTGATCTAGAATCATATAGCTCTGATTCAAATTTAATTTGGTCTTGTTCAACGGCAAAATCGTATTCTTTTTGTAGAGATAAAACACGGTTGTGCAGAGCTGGGTACTTTTTCTTAGCGGTGTTCAATTTCATGATGATATTGGATGTGGATTGGGTAATCCATGGCGCGAGTCTGCCTCGATGCCTTGTTCGAGTAGGGACATGGCGTTCGATTTTGATGTTCAACCATTTATACCAGTCCGACAATAACACATCAGGGTTAGACCAACAGAAGCCTTGAAAAGGGTTGTCTATTATATCCGCATTTAAGGCTTTAAAATCGGCTTTACAGTAGCTGAACATTTTCGACTCATTGTGGTATGATCGGAAAACATTGTTTACTTTTCGAATTTCAAACTTTGCTGTAATTGGAAAATGGTTTGACATGCTTGAAATGGATAAGGGTTTGACTTTCGTTGAGACGAGATTCAGTTCACCTTTTGAGAATAAGAGATCTAAAGTACCCGTAGCAGCTGTTGGGAAATCTATATGTTGTTCTAGTTCAAGGTGATCAACTTCATCAAGGAAACTCTGAGATTCGCAATTTTCGCTACTTCTGATGTTCCAGTCGATATCCAAGTTGAAATTGCCGTAGATTATTGTTGCATCAACCTGTGACATCAATGTTTCAATTTCTTTAAAAATTAATTTGATCATTTCATCGTTAAGGTGATAGTGGCTGGTTTGCGGTGGATTGTAGAAGCTAACAATTAATATTTTTCTGTTCTGAAAATTTACTATGCACCCTACAGCAGCACCTTGGCTTTCTTCAGGTAGTGATATTTTTTGACAATGAAATGAGTGCATAATTCCAATCATAACGCCTCCGTGCTTTGTCTGACCTTTAGGAGCTTTTCTATCAGATCTAAATAGTTGATAAGACGGCAGAAAAATTTCGCTATCTTCCTGTTCATCGGTAAGCCAAGTTTCTGATATTAGAATAATGTTGTAGTTCTGCGAGGCAAGAAATGATGAAAGCTCCACTCTACGCTGAAGAAGGTATATACTTCTGATATTGAAACATAATACATCTAAATCTTCCGTAGTACTTGATAGTCAATCAATTTTGGTTTCGTCTCAATTGACATATAATTTCAGTCCTATTATGCGTATATCTTTTGTGGTTGTTCCGTCGTTAATCAATTCTCTTCTTTTCATCAATAATTTATTTTCTATTTCTTGTTCCTCTTTATTCAAACTTTATGATATAAACACTTTTGTGCTGCTTTCAGCTGCTTTGCTTTCGCTAGAAGTTTTCTAGCAGTCCAGGTATTGTTCGGTCGCACTAAAATAGTACGAGGGCGTTGTTTGTCTTTGTCAAATTTTCCTAGACGTTTTAAGTCGGCGATACAGTTTGTTTCTTCCCGTAGGTGGTTAAGCACTTTTTCAATTTCATACGAATCATGAGACAAAATTTCGTCTTGAGTTGCAATTATATCTTTGCCATTTGCGTCTTTCTTCCGTGTATATTCCTTTATTCCATTTATTCTAATTTGTAAATTATTTTCGTTGGGTGCTGGCGGGGTTGGGTCAGGGTTATCGATTCGAATCCGAGTATTCCACCCGAATACCGAGTATTCGGCACTTCGAAGCCGAATCCGAATATTAAAATTTTGAAATCCGAATATCGAATCCGAATATTTTTTTTTTTGCCGAATACCGAATAATCCAGGGTCCACTGCTAAAAAACCCGAATATTCCGAATATTGGTTTACTGTTTTGTTTCACTATATTTTTCTGTTTTTTTTTAAGATGGCTAATGTAGAAGAGTCTGATGTCGCTGCCGGGGCGTCAACGACTTCGATGACTAAACACACGCAAGTGTGTGATAGCAAAACGGTCCAAACTGTCTCTGCAAAGCAACAAGTCTGATGCTGCGTTAGCTGTGAAGGTTATAAAATTTCTTAATCATTTGGCACATATGGAACCAGCTCTTAATTCTCCAATTCGCACTGTTTTGGGTAAGTGGATTGATAACAATCCTGTTATCACTGCCCTGATTAATAAATCGGGGAGTTTTTTTGAAACTATTCGAAAGTTCGCTGTTGAACCCGAAAGTGCCACACAGGTGGCGTCTAATGATCATCAATATGTGGCTGTGGAAGAAGGTTTGTCTTTTGCAGAGTTCAATAACAATTGCCAATTAGATGAGTTTGACATTTTCGCTTTTCTGGAAAATTTTCGTCCGTCCAGTGTTGATCCAGAGCGCCTATTTTCTTTATGCCGACTCAGTCGCAACTACTTACAAAATCGATTATCACCTGAGAATCATTCACGAAATGTTTTCTTAAATAAGAATAAAAGGTTTTTGAAATAAAACTGTTCATTAGCAAACTTGTTTTAAAATTACGGTCTCTTTTTTAAATAGTGTCACTCGATTTAGCTCGAAAAACTGGGTTGTCACTGATTTTTAACAGTTTTTAGCGATCTCAGTCGATTTAGCTCGAAAAACTGGGTTGTGAGTTGTGACTGATTTTTAACATTTACTCACTCCCGCGATTTTTACATTATTACGCAAGTCACAGCCAATTCTACTTGAAAAATGCTATGTTCAATACTTTTTATAGAATTTGTTGTATCAAACTTTTATGCTAAGTTTTTTGGGAAAATAACCAAATATCCGAATAGTTGTTCGAGTAGTAACATTTGGCCGAAGCCGAATCCGAATAGTAAGGGCACTATTCGGCCGAAGTCGAATATCGAATGGTTGGGCCGCGGCGAATAACGAATATCAAAAAATCCGAGTATTCGACATCCCTGGGTTGGGTTGGAAGTTATTAGTGACGTAGAATTATACTTAGCTTTATTGAGATCCTCCTTCAGTTCTGATATGGTTGCCTTAATGATTCCAACGGCCTCATCCATGGACTCGTTTCTGGCCATCAGTTGTTTTACGGGGTTAAGACAATGGTCACAAAACCATTTGATTCCTTTCACAACATCGAATAGGTTGAGGGCCTCCAGCGAGACATCAGTACATTTTTGGTGTAGCCAATTGTCGCATTTGTCGCATTGGATTGCTTGTTCCTCTTTGTCCTTGATTTTTCTGCTGCAGGACCCGCACATTGAATTACTTGCACTTGCAAGACGCTTGTTGCGTGCCATATCAAATTTGAAACTATTTAATAAGTTTATCACAACAATTAGGCTTATAAGTTTATCACAACTCCATATGGTCAATGGATCTTGAAAATAATTTTTCTCCAGACTCTGAATGTCCGCAGCTGAAGTGATAAAACTCGTTGATCAGTTGTATGGTCAGTCCGGCGATAAATCCTCAAAATCAGTTGCTGATAAGAAGTTACAGTCTTTTCAATCTACATCTTCGGCCTGGCCTGTTTCACTAGAGCTTTTGACAAAGGCTAACCCTCCTGAAGTGTATTATTTTGCAGCAAATACGCTGAGAACAAAAATACAAGGTCAGTTCAAAGTCTCTGTTTATGAAGCCATTTAGAAAAAAAACGTAAAATTTGTTTCATCAAATTGTATGTTTTAGACAGTTTTGCTGAAATCGGTAATGGCTGGCAGGAAATACGTGACTCGATTTTGGGAATACTTCTTGGGTCTACTGTTTTCTCGAAGTCAACCAATAGCCAGCTTTCAGTAGCTGTAGCACACTTGGCTTTACAATGCGAAGAATGGAACCATTGCTTATTACATTTGAAAAGTTTTGTGAACCCTTCGTCTTCTGCCAGGACAGCTTTGGTGGTTATGCAGATTTTGCAGTACATCCCAGAAGACATCGAGTGTGTTTCGTTTGATTTTTTTGGCCCTATTTATTCGTCCAAGTTTTCGCAGATTCGACTCTATATGATATTAACTATAATTACACTTGCGAAGCTAGTGTATTAGTACGAACCTTCTTTTTTTCCAACCCAAATCGCAAATATTGGTGTGGCTTTTTTATGGTGGGGCAACTTTACAGCTTTTTGATAGCATGTGCTTTGACATTCGAATCGTAATAAACTATAACAGTTGATGCAGTTTTAATTCATCAAATGAACCGAAAAAAAAGTATTTGTTTCAAACATCGTCACAATAATAAAAACTCGATTTCAGAAATTTTCTAACTCAATATATCTCAAATTTTTTGAAATGCATTATCTATACATAATGTGGCTTTATGGTTCGCAATTTGTTACATGCAAAGTTAGTGTGGGTGCCTTCAGTTTGTTATATTTCAATTTTTTTTTTTTGCAAAATTGAGTCTAATTGTATTTGGTGCTGAATCGCATTGGTAATTTGCTAGCATATGTAGCTGCTTTATTCGTGACTAGTGTTTGTTGGTCGTTAAGCTTGAAAGGCTGAGGGGATAGTGCGTGAGACTTAAAGAGTCTCTTGATTGCTGTAGGTCGCAGATTCGAATCGTACATGTAGCCGAGTTTTTGATAATTCGAGGCTTATTTCTACTTTTACTTATTTAATTTGATAGAGCTGCTTTTTGATCGTGTTCTCGCAAGTGTTTGCGAAGCGCAGCTTTGTCTCTGTGTAAAACATGATATCAGCTACTTTTTTGTGAGAGCAAATAACAATGCGATAGCAAAAAATTACACAAAGTTGGAGCAAGTTTGGATGTATTTCTCTATTGTTACAGTAGCAAAAGACTGGAGTTGGGAGAAAACAGACGAAATAAACTTAAACTCGAATTCAGCCAAGATGCTCCACAATGTATCGACTTATTCGCTTCACTACTCAAAATACAGTGTACAGAAAGAGAAGAAGTGTTACTCCGAATATTCAAATGTCTCACAAGTTGGCTCAGAGCAGATTTGATCCATACTAGTGCGATAAACAGTGGATCTTTTTGTGATTTGTCTTTTCACCTTCTCAAGGAAAATTCGACAACCTCTCAATCACATGAAGTTTTGACGGATTTTGTCTGTGCCGTTGTGCAAGCGTGTTTTGTGAGTAAAACTGATTCTGTTACAAATTCTAAGTTTCCTGTAAAAAATTCAACCTGAATCACTGTCCCCGTCCCCCTTGAAATGAAATGACGTTTTCAAAAGTTATTCACACGTGTAGAACTCCTTCAAAAATTACGTGCTTCATTGCATTGTTGCTGTGCAAATAGTTTAACATTTGTTTAAACAGCATGAGTTATATCCGCTTTATTTCTTATGTCATTTAAGTTGACCAAGTTGCGTTTCAGAAACAAGCGACGTCGGATGAGTTTTTGGCCAAAGTGTACGACGGAGTTGTGCAGTTGAGGGAGCCATACATTATGTCGGTTGCACATGAAGATGCCGAGAAATCTATGAACTTTGTCACTATTTTCGCATCCACTGCCGAAGTTTTTCTAGGTAATTTTTAAATGATTTACCAACAAGTGTGCCTCTAAATCATCAGTCTGATTTTAAATCGGATTTGTCGTAATGCAATCATTTTGCTTATATTTAATATGATTCAAATTTTCAAACTTATCAAAATAAAACGGAACTTTGTCTATATTTTAGATTCGATTCAATCGCTTTCAAACAATGGAATCGGCAGCAAAGTCATCCTTGACATGCTGCTGGACTGTTGCGGACACTATGATTTCGAAATAGCTCTGCACACTTTCAACTTCTGGTTCGCTTTTGCCGAGTCAATCTCAAGACAGAGCAACAGCGAAGAATTTATCTCTCAGTTTGCGCCCTATTATGAACGTCTTATTGTGTCCCTGTTCAGATTGTGTCAGTTGGAACCAGATAGAAGTGATTTGTTGAGTATGAAAGATGACTTTTACGAGTTCAGAAATCTAGCCAGGGATCTCATCATGGAGTCCGTACAGATTGTGCATCCTATGAAGATTGTAGTCATGGCCAAAAGTGTGATCGAAACACAGGTATCTTTTTTTAAAGAAGATTAGTTGTTCAATTGAAATGAAAGTTGTGCTTATAGAGTGTAGGACTAAAATTATATTCTTAAAATACTTTTTTCAATAACACTTAGTTATTCAGATTGGTTCGTTTTGTTCAAATATGGGAACCGGTGGGTTTTGGAAAACTAGATTCTAAGAAAATTTTTGGTCTTTATTGTAATAAAAGCATTAAAAGCACGTAACGAAATGCACATGCTGTTTAAGATTATGCTTTAGAAACATCCAACTTTGAGTGAACTAATTTAGCAAAGAGCAAATGAGTATCAGAGATCCTATGAATAGTTCTTGGGAATTAATTTTGCTCTTTGTTTTCACAGGAGGTTCTTAGAGGGTCTTAAACCAAATGCATGTCATCGGCAGTGCTAGCTTTACTACCTCTAAACTCACTCCTTACTCAGTGTTGTGTCCCCCCATTGTCAAGTCAAGTCACTCTTTGGACGGACTCTTGTTGAGCAATCGGTCTCCCTTTGGACCAAAAAGAAATCTCTGAAACTTCAAATCTGATGACATTAAAGCTAACACTGCCATCCGCTCTGCAGAAACAAGCTCCAAATAAATTCGCTTTGAGATTGTCTAGTCTTGCTGATCTTAAGTGCCCTTCCTCTAAAAAGTTTCTAAGCCTAGCCCCTGTAATTGAATCCGGGGACCCCTTTGTTCCGTCCAAAGGGTTCACGACACTCTTAAGGACTATAATTCTGTGGACCTTGACTTGTTTTGAATGGACTCATTTGGACCTCGTTAGTTCTACCGGATTCTAGCGAGGACTCCTCGAGCCTTCATGGAAAAGTTAGTTGGGATTATTATCGGATATTGCAGTGAGGTGATCATTTTTAAGAACGCCTGGGAGAGCATAGAAGCTGCAATCTTCGTTCTGAACGCAGTGGCCAAGTTCATCCATAGAGAGGAAAATGAAGTCACCCCACCCCTATTCGAGAAAGTCCTGGCTATTGGACATCATCAGACGCATGTATGTGTGGGCTTTGCGGTGCTGCAGTTCCTAGGAGAACTGGGCACGTGGGTGAGCAACCACCCGAACTTCCTCGAAGGAATCATTCAGTTCCTGGCCACAAGGTTAGTTTTCATAAATTTTTCAATCGCAACTATTTTTTTTGTTAAATGAGACACGTACAGCCTTAAACTACCAATTTCGCTCACTTTTCAGTTGCCAGAGGAAGTCTACTTGTAATCGGGAATTTGACTTCTTCGTAAACACATTGGCGTACAATTCTGGGAGAAATTGACCTGCCTCATTAAAAAACCTCGACATCTTTAGGCCCGTTCTCTTTTGGTTTAGAGTTTATGCACGCGGTTAGGCTAAGGGTCCCGGTCGGACCTCGTTTTTCTCCGATATGCATGGAAATCGTTTTTTTTTTGGAAAATTTTGAATGTCGGACTGTCTCTTGCTTCCATTTTGTCGGCTTACTTTCCCAAGTATGGATTTTTCCCTCGTCAAATCATTTTCTGGCTTAAGCAATTTTCACTATAACTGAAAGTAGTTCTGTTGTTTGTACGCTTGCCAATTCTGATTTTGTTGAATTACCTTTTTAAGAGTCATGAACAGAGAGTAGAAGTAGTAGAATAGATTTCTGGCATTGCCCAAGGGAATAATCCCTCACTGATCGATTGAGATGAGTTTTCCTGTGGGAATGCATTGTTTGCAGAGGTGCAGGATGCGTCATGTACATGACACAAGTTCATTATATTTAGTTAGCACAAAAGTTTAATAAAGCAGAGTTAGATTCTGTTAGAGTTTTTCATCGTCATTAAAACCAATTGTTTCGAGAAAATATTCTACAACGCTGCCTTGTCTGCTCAATTGACATTCCACATCATGAAGTCTGGCTAATTTTTTCACGCTAAAATGATTTTTTAAAGTTAATTTCCTTAAATGAAAGAAAGCAAACTCCACTATCGAACAGCAACTGTTCAAATAACACAAACAATTAACATTTTTTAAAGCATTTCACTTATCCGTCCAATTCAAAATTTTCTTTTTATTTTGGTTGTAATGTAACCAACTCGATATGTAAGTTTCATTTTTCCATTTTTGTCTTGTCGTTTGATGAGCGAAAAGTTGTGTGTGTGTGTGTGTGTGTGTGTTGTATGTTGTGTGTTTTTATGTTTAAGTAAGGTCCAGTGGGCTTAAAAACTTTTTTCTGTGTTTAATTTTCTGACTTCAAGGTTTCCTCCTCAGGTGTTTTAGGTTTTTTGTTACCGCTTACAAAATTCTATTTTTGTTACCGCTTAGGCGATGTTAATTTCACATTTTTCCATGTGTTTTTTACTTAGCTGCTTTCTTCTTCTTCTTCGTTCTGTTACGACCTTTGCAGGTCCTAGAATGGGACTCGGGCTCGCTCTCTGCTCTCCTCCTTGTATGTTCCTCTTATGACGCGCGAGATTTTTTGCACTCTGGTCCTCCCCGCATATGTCGCATATCGCCCGTTTGCCTTTTGGGGGTTCCTTAGTATGCCCCTCGCCTATGGTTCGTCCATGGCCCTTTCTCGTTGAACGTGCGCATGCAATGCGGGCATGTGAAGGTCGTGAGACGCTCGTGGTGCATTTTCCTTTCATGTTGTGTCCTTCCACCCTTACTGGCGCACACTCGCTCACATCCTTCCCATCTACATTTATAGACATTCCCCCTTGAGTCTTCGGTATACTGTGATCTTCTGGGCTTTTCCTGTCTTCCATTTACGTTGCACATTTCATTTTCCCAGTTCTCAATGAATTGCATCCGTTCCTTAGTCAGTATCTTCCACTTTTTCCTGTCGCGGGTGAGGTTCTCGAGGTCTGTCCAATCCTTTCCCATCTCTTTAACTAGCCTCCTCCAGTATGAAATAAGACCATTGCGCAGGGTGCCCTGTTGTGTCGGCTCCATTTTCCAGTGTCCTAGGACGACTCTTTTCACTGTCCTGGTATTGGGCATTCGCTGAATGTGTCCTATTCGTTCCAGGGCTCGTTTTTCTATTTTGCACCGAATTGATGGTATTCCCAACTCTTTCCTTATTTGATACGAGTTTGTGCTGGTTTCCTGCATGCGTATCAAGGCAAGACCTCTTCCGCCACTCCAAATATGCCGATACGCCTTGTCCACCACGCTTTGCATCTTATTTATGTCTGTCTTTGACCATGGCCTCACAGCTGAGTCAAATAGCATTGTAGACTCAACTGTGGCTTGCACTGCGATAGCTTGGGTACGTTTTGATAAGGTAGATTTCCATAACCACCGTTTGATTTTGTACCACGCGCAGTACCCTCTTTTTATCCGAGCAGCCTTGTCTTCATTTTTACCGATTCGTGTCCCTAGCATCCTTGTTTTATTGGCTGCCTCAGAAGCGAAGGATATGTTTTCCTCCGTGCCATCGTGGCACTTTTCTTCGAACTGGGCGAGGGCTTCCTTGAAAGCTGTCTTGCCTTCCCTCAGCTCACTGTTCCAGCCAATAAGGGTTGAGTCGTCCGCGAACAAGGAGTCCACTAAGATGAACTTCTCTTGTGTACTACTTCTCGTCGTTCTCCGTGTATCTACGGGGGGTAAGCTATTGCCGGGTCTCCAGCTCCACGCGAGGCTGTACTCTTCGTCGTTACTCACTGCCTTTTGTTCCCGCATTTTTTGTGCTAGTCGGGCCGCTTGAGTATGGTAGATGTTATACAGGATTGGTGATGTTGTACATCCCTCTCTCAGTCCTCGCTGTGGCCTCCAGTTCTCACTGAGGCCCTCTTTACCCTTGACCCTGTAACAGGTTTTCTCATGGAGGCCTTTGATTATTTCCAAGACACTCGAAGTGACGCCTAGGCGCTCCAGAATTCTCCATAGGAGTTGCCTGTTGGTTCTTGGGTACGCTTTTGTGATGTCTAAGAGGGTTGCCCCGGGGCGCCTTTCATCAATTTCTTGACAACAACCTAGCACTCTTCTTGTCTCCTCGTCCACTCGCAGGACAACTTGCGTAGCATCTGCTGTAGAGCGGCCGCTACGAAAGCCATTTTGATTCTCATCCATGGCGCCTATCTCTTCTGCCCATCTTCTTATCCTTGTGGCAAAGAGCCTTGCTTTGATCCTGCTTGCTAATGGTAGGAGACATACCCCACGGTAGTTGTCCAGACAGTCTTTTGCACCCTTTTTATGCAGTGGTATCATCCAGCCCTCTTTACAATCATCTGGCCAGTCCGATGGACTGGTACCTAGGAGATTGGTTATGCAGTTGTATAGGGGTATTTGGGCGTTTCTGCTAAGGCATTTAATGCCGTCCATTCTGATACCATCGTTGCCCGGCGCTCCGTTGCTTATTCTTTCCAGCTGTTCAGTGAATTCGGCGAAGGTGATATCCTTCTCCAGGCGTTTTGCCGCTTCTATTGCGATTGCATCTTTCCTCTCTTCTGTTTCCAGTGCTGTGGCCTCTATATCCTCAGGTTCTCTCTCATACCTGTGCTTAGAAACCGCCATAAAGTGCGCCTGGTATTCTTCTGGGCTGAAGAATTCGTCCTCTATGGTTTGCGTATCCTTGACACCGATCCGCCTCAAGGTTTGGTACAGCTTCCGCGTGTCACCCGCCCCTTCTGCGCTCTTTGCCTCCTGAACTATTCGTAGCCACCACGACTCCTCCCAGCGTTTCTTGTCCTTCTTAATTTGCCTTCTGGTCCTCCTTCTTTCCTCCTTCCACTGAGATAACCGCCCCGTGCCACTGGAGGCTTCGATGCTTAGGCGATGTTAATTTCACATTTTTCCATGTGTTTTTTACTTAGCTGCTTTCTTGTATAGTTTAGCTCCGCTTCGTCTCTGTTTATGTTACAAATAACCTTTTTTCGCAATTTTTCCAACCAGACTCGCAAATTGCTATGAACAGTTCAAATACAAAATTTATTTCGGTTATGTAAGGAGCGTAAGGAATTTGTGCTTTAAAACCGCATTTACTGCTGCATGTTTTTTCTTTGTATAGCGCTTTCTTATAGCATAGTAATTTTTTCATAGTGTTTTTCATGGGAAGTCTCCGTTCGTTTGTTCAAATTTATCAGGATTTCCTGGACCCTCAGATCATTTCTGCGTTTTTGATAAACACCTTGCCAAAAACGTGAAGATTTTTCTAACCTCAAACTTGGAATTGGGTGTTAGTAAATTGATTCAGACGACAGCTGCGAAAATTTCGTTTCGGCTATAATTCAGCTTTGGCAGTTGTTGTTGTTGGCTTATTTTCCTTAAAATTGTTAACTGAAAATTGAGACAAATGTATGGAAATTTTGTCAGTCCTTTTTGGCTTTTTCTTTCAAAATATAAAAATATTTCGACACAAGAGTTTGTCTCTTTTCTGTCGCTAGCTTGACATTCTATGTTGTGCTGTATTGCAAATGGCGGGAAACACTGTTTCGTCTCTGTTGACTGATTTGAATGATGAACACTGTTTTTGAATGTTGTCAAACATTCAGCAAGGGTGTTTAAAAGCCAAAATAGTTATTTGGAGTTCCTAAAAGTGGCATATTTTTCTTGAATTTTTGGTGTTAATTTTAAAAGACCTAAAGATTTGGTGATGTGCCTTTAGACCCCGAAGCTCCGAAGTTTTTGGGGCTATGGGGTCTATGATGGAGTGTATGTGTGTTGCGGGTGATCTGCATAATTAAGCAATGCAGAGTATGAGTTGTCGCCGCATATACATTTTTAATATACATTTCTGTTGAAACTAAATGGCCTTTACTATTTTTTGTTTACAAATATCTATCAGATTTGCTATTTTTGGGTTGCCGTTTTGTTTAACGTCGACTAACGTGCGGTTGTTTGCCATTTTTTTGTGTCTGTGATACCCGCTATAGCTTGCGTTCCTATGGAAAATTATTTGGGTTCTACTTTTTTCAGTCTAACAATTTGTTTGACAAAATCACTTGAATCATCTTGTTAACTCACTTGGTCTGTATTTTCCTAAACAACCGACTTATGTTGAGTATGTCTGCATTTTGAATACTTTTTGGTTGTAAATTTACTCCAATTTAGTCTTTCAGCTTATGGTTTTTTCTTTAATCATTTTTCTGTTGCTTTATTAGGCTCAGAAGGTTTTGACTTATAATTTATTGGCTTATTCTACCCATATGCATCGCATCGTTTGATTGCGAAAGAAATTTTCTATGCATGCGTGATTGGGGAGTATAGAGTTATGCTTAACTGGTGTCTACTCAAATATTGGTGTCTGGTAAAATATTGTCGGCTTAGTTGCCACTGCAAAAATTTGTTTGGCTTTAAATCAACACAAGCAGTTGTAGTTGGCCTGTTTTCCTTAAGATTTTTAAAATGAAAACGAGACAAATATATGAATTTTTTTTCTTTATCGATTTTTTTTCCTTATCGATTTTTTCTTTCAAAATACAAAAAGTCTCGCTTTTAGATTTTGTCTCATTTTCTGTCGGCTCGCTTGACATACGATGTTTATGTTGTATTGCAAATGGTGTGAAACACTGTTTCGTCTCTGTGTACTGATTTTATTGGTTAAAATATTTTTAAACGTTTTCAAACGGTCAAGGACGGTGTTTAAAAGCCAATCGTGCAGTCAGCTGAACTTAATCTTGCTGCTAAATCTTTTTATAGCGTTAGCATTTTTTAGTTTATTAAGGACAACCGTTGTTGTGGCCTTGATTATGTACATGTTTTTTATGGATAATTTCTGGTCTTAATAATGTTAACCCACCCCCGCGCACCGTGGACCTATCTCGACTGACAGGGGGAGACGTTAGGACTTTAACAATGTTGCTCTGTTTCAGACTGAGCTGCAAGGAGTTGAATGACTGTGCCTCGTCTGCACTTCTCAACATCTGCTGTTCCAACGCAGAACAGCTGGCACCACATTTCGACTCCCTCTGCGAACTTCTGAAGTACTTTGACCTCCAGAAACAGAAGTCATCCGAGGACCTCATACAGGGGCTAGGTATGCATGTGTGAATTTCAATCAGTACGCTGTATAGATGGATGAACAAATGAGAATATTTTAACAAGATGACTTTAAAAATTGAGTGAATTATGGAGAAGTTATAAATCCGTGAATCCTCCAAAAGAATTCATTCGAAAACGAAAGATTTTGAAATTTGCCATTATGACAACGTATGAAATGTTTATTTGTTTATTTTTTATTCTTTTTTAGTTAAAATTTGGGGAAAAGAATTGATCTTTTCTATAGTTTGTTAACTAATCTAACCAGCTAAATCTAGATTGATAGATACTGATCTGATTTCCTATAGAAGAGAGGCAACTTTCATGTTTGAAACCCAGAAGTTCGAAGCTCCGGAAGCTAGATTTTAGTTAGTTCCATTTCCTATTTCTTTGTTTCAGTATGCATCCTGAACCACAAGCCGAACCCAGAATTGAAAGTGGGCTTCGAAAAACTTGTCAAGTTCTGCATCGAAAGCGCTGCCAACTCCGCCGACCAACATGCAGAACAGAAATCAGAACAATACTTGTCACCGGAAAGCGAAAAAGCAGCAGGAGACGCTTCTGGAAACGACAGTCCTCTCAGACCCTACATCCCAGTTTTGGACAGGATCTCAATTTTACTCCAGTACGTCAGACCTAAAGAGGAAACCCCCCATGATTCGGGAGGAGACGCGACGAGTGAACATCCTTGCAAACAAGTAATTGGGCAGATTTTGCCACTTGTGTTGGGTATTTTGCACCAGTACAAAATGTCGGAGAAGATTTCGGAAAAGGGATGCAGGACTCTGCGCTACTCGTTGAGGTGTCTTGGCCTGCATTTTGAAGCCTACTTGGCAGACTTGGTGCAGAATTTGGTGGATTTGTACACGCAGAATGGATTCTCCTGCTATTTGTATCTCGGAGGTCAGTTGAGTTCATTAAGAGCCGATGAACGTAGTTATATATGTCGCGATGATTTTTTTTGTTTTTTTTTCAGGAACAGTTCTAAAATTAGTTCAGGCTCAAATATACTTTTTCGCGGTTTAGGTTTTGCTTTCTTTTAAAGTTCAGCTCATTTCCTTTGTTAAAAGAATTCCAAACTACATTATCATGCACCGACTTCTAGTTTCGAAAGGGGAATGTAGTTGTCAGATTTCTCAGCGAAAGAAAAATTTCACCTATTGATCAACTTTTCTCAAATTGGGTTACTTTTATCAGAAAAATGCCACTCATATTGCCCTCAAAATTCGAAGGGCTTTAAGGGCACATTTTTTCTTTGAATTTCAAAAATTGAGATTTTTTCAAAGAGTCAATTTTTTCGTCTGTTTACTTGCGTTCATTGATTCTTTTCGAACTGTCTGTTGGCTATATTTCAAATGTCGCCATTTGCTTTTCATGCTTTGCGATGAATTAGAATCGATTGTTTCAATATTTTTCCCTGGATAGAAAATTGGAGAAATTCTTAGATTCGAAAAAATTAAACGGAACTTGGATTTTTCCCCACTCGTTAGCATTTTTCAGAAATGAATTTTCATTTTCTATTATATATCCTAAGTGATTGGAATTTCTGATTAGTTTGCTTACTAAAGCTGTCTGGTAAATCGTGTTCTGAGAAATTGGCCCTTCACTATTCTTTTCTGACATCCATTTTCGGCGACCAACCCTTAAGTTTTTGTTTTTCTAAAGGCGCTTTGGTCACAAAAAAGCGACAAAAACGGCATTTTTGACCTGTATTATCAAAATTTTACCTGCGGTGCAGAAAATTTTGTGAAAATAAGGCCTTTATAGTGTTCTGAAAGCGCGAACGCTCGCAAAATCAATTTGGTTGATCTAAAAAAGGTCGAGGAAATCCCCCTCGAAAAAATCGTATATCCGCCCCTGCTTCAAGATATGGCATTTAGTTGAACATCCGCCTAATTTTTTTAAAATCCAATTTGTTGCAGGTATAGTGGTGGATGAGTTTGGCGCCTGTGGCCAGTACAACCAGGGACTGTCCGCCCTATTCGACCACTTCTCAGCCAGGGCTCTGAATGAGTTTACGGAAGAGGACGGGTTCAGAAACCACCCAGACACAGTGGACGACTTCTACAGACTGAGTATCCGAATCACCCAGAAGTGTCCCGAAGTGCTGATTGGGTCGGATAAGTTCGCACCTGTGTTCGACGCTGCCGTGAGTTTAGAAAATCATAATTGGCTTTAAGTGAGGTGAGGTATTATATAATCTACGGTGAAAATTTAGAGCCCGGTCACCCGAGAGAGCGCCATTAAGAATTTTGTGTGGCCTGTTATCAGGCGCCTCAGCATTATTTTCCTGTCCCTGGTTTCCAACAGAAATGCTTGTTTGTGAACTTTGTTGAGGGACACTTTTCAAGCTGCGTAGCTACTATTTTTGTTCCGACCATTTGAAAATGTTTTTTTTCTTCTTTTTTTGTTTTCCACGCAGAATCAGGTGCCCCAAATAAGCATCGGAATGGGTCGACTGATATACCAAATTGAAGCCCTTTCAGTCGTGATTCGAACGACATAAAAACAATCTCTCACAAACTTTTCTCAATATCGATAAAAACTAGTTTAAATTTTCGATTTTGAGCAATTAAAGCGAGCTAGCAGGCCTACAACTACTCAATAGTACTGCAGTCAAGCCCTGAAAACTTAATTTTAAACAAGTGAAATTAGTTTTTTTAGTTTTTTAGCGCAATTTTGGGAACAAAAAACTGACTTTTTTGTTTTTCTAGTCATTTTTCTACAATTTTTTTGTCCATTTTGCCTATTTTGCTATGACTGTCAAATATGCTTAGATAGATTTACGTCAGATCCTTTCATCACACCACGCAGAAGAAAACTACACTATTTTTTAAAAAGTTTTTAAAGACAATGGTCGGAATATTCTGTACTACTTGCACAGTAACTGGCTGTCATTGTTTGCATTTGCGACTAGCAGTTGTTATTGAAATTTAACTAGTTTACAAAATCATTTAGTGATTCAGCCTTGCAAGGGATGTTAATTTGCTTTGAGTTCAATTTAATTTAAAAAATGAGCATTTCTCAAGTGGTAAAGTTGTATTTGGTTGAAAAAAGTCTGTGGTTCGAGACGGGCTACCATCAGTACTTTCTTTTTGCTAGCTATACTTTTTCTACTTCGTTTTTTATTTTTATTTGAGTTGTCATGTGTCTGATAATTATCACAATATGTTTTTTTCATAATTACATTATGTTCGCTAATAACATAAGTGAAAATGGCGCAATTTTTTCATTTAGAAAATTGACTTTATTTTTCCGAAATCCTAGAAGAACAAAAAAAATTACATATTCATTCAGTTTTTTCTAATTCGAACAACTTTATTCTACATGTAAGCTAGCGAGCGTAGTGCTGTGTTTTGAATCCATTTTTTTTTCAACCCAAATTGCAAATAAAATAGCTTTTTTGTGGCAGTTTTGCTGCATTTGCAGTGGCAATTTAATCGCATCTGTAGCTGCTTCATTGGTGGCTGTTTCAAGCGACCGTGGCGCAGGGGGGAGGACACGAGACTCCTAGTCTCTAGGTCGGAAGTTTGAATCGGGCACACGAACAAAGTTATTTTAACCTTTCCTTATTACGATTTATAAAAAAGTTTTTTTTTGGAATTTTCTGTGCTCTTCGCATAGCAACCGGCTATTTTTGAGCTTTTCTTCAATTTTGTTGTTTGGTACCCATAGCCTCTATTCAGTTCGCAAAATTAATTTTTGCTAAACTCATAATTACAGGCACCAACATGTTTTTTTTTACTGTAAAAAAGTGAGTTTGCGCAGCGGCAGAACAATATCTTTTGAGAGCTGAAAAGATAGCAAATGGGAACCACTCTGGTTAAAAAGTTCAAGTTTGGTGATATTTGTGTGTCAGCAAAGACCATGGCGGTATTTTGAAACTGTTCCAAGTTTTTTGAAATTAAAAGAGTCATAAAATAATATAATAAAAAATTAGTAAAATTAAAAAAGTAAAATTAAAAAGGTAAAATAATATAATAAACTGTGCTATAAGATAGAGCAAAATTTTATGAATGCAAAAACAATGAAAAAGAATATAATTTAATTTGATATTGATAGAAATGAGTCTTTTGCGGTTTCCAAGTTGCTAATTCAGCTTGACTCTGATTGCTAATTAGAGTTTCGTCGGTTTAAAAAATATAGAATATCAAATTGGGAAAAATTTGTTAAACTCAGCAGGTTTGAATTAGCCTGAGTGTGATACCTAGGATCGATTTTTTTTGCTGTTGTTTGGGATTCTGAGTAGTTTGAATATAGTATATAATTGTAGAATTATTTGGCTTAGAAATCAAATTTAAAATATTCTTAATGAAAGTTTTCTGTTTAGATCTGTGCGTTGCACCTGGACCACAAGGAAGCTCTGATCTCAGTGGTGGAGTTTATAGACACTCTCTTCTCAACAGCATCTGCGAAAAACAATGCAAACAACAACATCAGCATCACTAATAGTAACAGTACTAACTCAGACAACACGTCACAGCTGAGAAGCAAGATGAGCGAAATGTTATCCACGCACGGGCATAAACTCCTCACTCAGGCCATTGCAGCTGCAGTTTTCAGGTTGGTCTAAAGTAATATAGGAAAATACATGGTTTGCTGTTTATATTTACAATTGCGAGAGCAACTGTCTTGTAATCGGGAACTTACGTTTTTTCCCGCAAACAACTTTTCTTACACATTTGTTTTGATGTTACTTAATTGTCGATTCTTAGCAACTTCCCACCGCCTTCTAACGTGGCCTGGAGGTAATGCAATTGCCTTAGTACCCTATGGTCTGAAAAAAATGTTCGTTTTTTTTTCTTAAGTTATTTCCATCTCACTGTCTGTTTAAGAATAATGAGCGTAGTGAGTACTCTTATAGATTACGTCTCAAATGGCATAATTCCCAAATGGCATAAAAATGAGAAATATCCCAAATGGCATAATTTCCATGCAACAGTTGAAAAATTATGAGAGATGTTTTTTTTTACTGAACAAGGTGTTAAAAGTCGTAAAGTTGTCAATTCAGTTGTTGTTTGACATCATCTCGATTTTTTAAGGAATTCTTATCAAAAGCATAAGTAGCTACTAATTTGTTTTGTGTGGTCAATTTTTCCAGCAAAACGGTCACTCAACATTTGTTTGAAAGTGATACAATCAAATCTTGTTCACACATCTCATTCCTAAATAAAAGGAGAACTTTTAGTTAAAAAAAGCTTGAGTGTCATGGAAAAACTTGTTTTTATGACATTTGGGAAGTTACCCTCTTATATAATAGGTCTTGCTGATTTTTTTTTCAGGAAAAGTCTTAACTTTGTTCACGCTCAATTTTGGTTTTTTCGCGGTTTGGCTTGTGATTTCTTTTTAAGTTCAGTTCATTTCTCTTGTTAAAAGGAAGGCAAACTCCACTATCGAACAGCAAAAGTGTAAAGGTCACGAAAAACGTGATCGACTTCTGATTTCTAAAATGTAAATTAATTATCAGATTTCCCAGCGAAATAAAAGTCTTACCTATTGATCCAGTTTTCTCAAATTGGGTTACTTTTAACGAAAAATTGTCCATCCTAATTTTTTCAGCAAATTTAAAGAGTTCTAAAGCCATCTATTTTTCTTCAAATTCAAATTTGAAGATTTTTTGAAAAAACTGGTTTTTTATTTCAATTTCCTTGTGTTCGTTACACTTTTCCAACTGTCAGTTGGCTCTGTTTGGTAGCTTGCAAGGCCACGCTTTCGTTGTATAACACGTTCACCTCTGTGTAATGTTTGCGATTAGAAAGCGTTATCAAATTGATTTATTGACTTGTTTTCAGGTAAGAAAAATTAGTCTAACAGAATCACCTGATAGATCTCTAACGCGATGTAGTTAGTTATTTTCTTCGAAATTTGAAAGTTGAAAATTTATAGACATCATGAAGTTATTTTCGGTTTTCATGGCATTTTTCCAACTTTCTGGCACTGTCTTAAAACTTCTATTGTAATTTTTTTTTCGTTTTTTTTTCTGGTTTCTATTTTGTGCTGTGTTTTAGTCTGCCCAGATACTTGCTGCCAGACATCAGTCTGGTGTTCCAAACTGTCTCCCAGTTCGACCGAGACTCCTTCTGCATCCTCCTCGCCCAGGCATTTGAAGCCCTCTCCCAGAGAAACGAAACAGCCGCCAAAAATGTATCCCCTCAACAACTCAGAAGCATCTACGACGCAATTGTTCACGACTCGAACTACAGGCCGGTTGGAAGAACTCTGAAAAATCTAGTCAAGTTTTACAGATGAACTACTTGGCTATTGAGTGAATATTTGATCGTTATTGTAGATTTATGTTGATTTAAAAATGAGAGTTTTCAAGTCTCACTTTTTATCCTGCTACGAAAAGATGATAAATCGAATGACCAAATCGTCGAAAAATCATCTCGTTCTCAGTTATACACCCTTTTTACGGCATTTCTCTAAAACCGAGACTAGTAGTAAATTATTAACAAAATTATGTCTTACTGGCGTACTGAAGGACTGATTTCATAGTTTTTTTCAGTGGGAAGTCTGAAATAAGGTTTTTGCACAAGCATCACTTTTAATGCATCACGTTTTTTGCACAAGCATCACAAAATTATAATTCTGGCATAACTTTTACCCACCTTTCACTCTGGAGCAGAAAATGAAATTTATTCGTACAAGCAGTGTATTTACAATTGCGAAGCAATGTGCATTAATACGAACTTTCTTTTTTTTGCAACCTAAATCGCAAATTTTGGTGCCACTTTTGGGGCGCCTTTACAGCTGCTTCACAGCATGTGCTTCCAAATTCGAATAGTAGTAATAAGTTAACACAGTTGATGCATTTTTAATTCATCATTTGAACCGAAAAAAAGCCGAGTTTTTGCCAATTCGAGTCTAAGTTCTACTTTTTTAAATTTCAACTGATAGAGCTGCTTCGCCTCTGTGTACAAAGTTGATTTAAAGTCTAATCGCGCTAGAACGTAGACTCTTTCTTAATTTATAGCCGCGCAGCAGTCCGTTGAATGATCTTAGGTTTCAAACGTGGGTTTGATGTCTCAATTTTTCCAACAATGAAAAAACGTCTCGGTTCTAATGAAATTTTTCAAATTCAAAATTTTCTTCAGTCTAGTTTTTTTTGCTCTTTGGCTTTAAGTTTTCTTAAATTCTGTTCATTTCTTTTGAAAGGGAAGGCAAACTCCACTATCGATCTGAATTGTAAAGGTGATCACCAAATCAGTGATCAATTTCTAGCTTCAAAAACGGATTCAAATTATTAGATTTTGCAGCCAAAAAAAAATTAGCTAGTGATCCAGTTGTGTCGAATTGGGTTAATTTCAAAATGTCAATAATAAATCGTTCTTAAATTTGTTTGGCAATTTGTAATTTTTTTGAAATTTGATAGATGAGATTTCCCAAAAACGACTACTGTTTTTTTTGTTCACTTGTGTTAATTGACTGCCTTCTGGCTATGTTTCAATTTTCAAGTTGGGCTAGCTTTTGAAAATTTTTTCTAGCATAGCGCGAAAAGCTTAATGATGAAATGTTTTTTGTTTTATATAAAATTCAAAGCTTCACGAAAGTGCAAGAAATTGTTGTTTTTTTTCTAAATAATTAAAACTTTCCAGCCATCTGTTTGCTGAATTGGTGTTGCAGTTTACCGGGGCTTAGCTAAAAAAAACTACAGGTAAATTGAACGGTAAAGGAGTCTATCTTTTTTTGAGTCAATCAACTTTTTTCTTCCAAAGTACAGAGTTTGACTGGCAACTTTTCAGAGTTTGACTACTAAGCTGAGAAGCCATGCTTTCCTACATAAAGGAAGTATTGGGGCTTAAACCACTGAAGTTATTTTTGAGAGCTTCTCTCTTGCTTATCTGATTTTCTTATTTTCCGAAACTAACGTGTAAAATTAAACAGTTTGGCAACGAGTTCATTCCTACTAGTGACCGTAAATAAATATCGAGTTACCTTTCGTTCAAGTGAACCTTCTTCTGATATTGCATTGCAGATGCATAGATGTTTTTGTGTGCGTAGCGATACGCATATGTGTCTACTTTTTGCTCAATCCTTAATTGGACGCTCTTCGAAAAACATAGTAATTTTAACCGTATCAGTCAATGGATTGTTAGAAGGAAATTAAAAGTCAAAATAATGAGCAATTCAATAGCTTTGTTTACACATGTAATTTGCAAATAAAAGTGCTAGTTTCGGGCTAATTTTGGCGCCGTTTTCGAATCATAAGGCCGCATTGGCACTAAAATTTTATGTGTAAACATTTGTAATGAAGTAACACAGTTTTTGCTCTGCAGCTCATCAGTTGAAGCAAAAGCAGCCTTTTTATGTCTAAATATAGTACAATCATACAATTTTTCTCTCAGAAAATTTACATCTCAGCATAATTTGCAAAACTTTTCAAACAAATACTTTATTACACTTGCGATAAATCTGATTTTTTTTACTTTGCTCAAATCTGATTGGCTGAAAAAAAATACTTTTAACCAGTGAACAAAATCCTCACTTAGTTGATTTTGGAGGAAGTTGTTCACTTGGTCAAAAGTTGGCCTTTACGCTACCATTTTTTGAATGCAAAATTAGTGTGGTTGCCTTTACTTTCTAAGAATTTTACGTACAATTCTAGTGTTTCTATGCATTTAAATTCTCCCGAATATTTGGGCGCTTTTGTGTTTGCGAAGATGCAGCTTAGTCTTTTATGTATACAAGGACATGCTAATTGAAAGGGTCCCATGCGCTTTTTTGTTAGCAAAATATTCCATCTGCAAGAAATGTTGACCTTATTCTTATCCTCATTGCTCTCGCTCTAAATATAAAGCAGACGAAATAATTGTTCCGACGTTCATAACGAAAGTAACAGAATAGTTGTGCTCGGGTTGAGTTTTTTTCTTCGGACAAATTTCGACTTTTTAACTAGCCATCTTTGACGGAATTTTAACTTTATTTTTCAAAAGGTATTGTTTCCCTGAGCTTAAGTTTGAAAAAATATTTCACCTGCGATCATTTTTCATAAAGTTGGGGGTTTAAAGATGGCCCTTTTGGCCAATTAGGGACAACTAACGCGCGATATATTTCGCGCTATTAACGCGTAAGCCGAGATCTAATACGTCTTAAAAATCGTTCCAATTTGGTTGAACGAAGCTTGTTAACCATAATTGAGTTGTTACTAGGAGCAAAATTAATCACTTTGAATTTTATATGGCGTGTGGGGGATGATTTTTGCAAAAAATCTCAAATTCAAAGAAAAACTCTTTCTTTCTATTACAATTAATTTTTTTTTCATGTTATTACTGCTCCATAAATCGTAAAAGATAGTCGGAACATTCAAGGCTTTGCCCTGATACGAGCAGACTTGTTTGGTTTAGCCAGCTTATTGCTAAAAAAATCATTCAAGAGCTGACTGTGCTAGAAAAAGTTTCCCTAAATCAGTAGTGCTCTTCAAGACAACGGCGTTCAATAAAATAAAAGTCCCTTAACATTGTTAGGACAATAAGTTTTGTTGTTATGCTAGATGAATAATGTGCAAAACAAATAGCTTAGCTTGTTTATACTTGGAGACAATCGAATCAAGTTATTTAAAACGAAATAGGTGTATAAGCATAAATTAATGATGATTGAGATAAAAAGCTAAAATGGGAAATTTTTTTCTAGCATTCTACGTTTATCCTCAGGTAAAATTTAGCGACGGCATTCCTAATATGTCTTTGACTTTTTCTCCATCAAAAAACTTGTTCACAGGAATTATCAGTTAACTATATTAAAACATTGATTCTCGGCTACTCTTTTTAGGATTAGCGTAGATGGACGACACACACCCTTAAAACGACAGAAGTCAAGGGTTCGAGTCCGGCCAGCAGCTTCACTTCTCGATAATTGAAAAATTTGTCCTGCTATCGTTATCCCCCTTGGGTGCAAATCTCGTACACGCTCATAAAAAAATCATTTATGAGTTTGAGTGCTAGAAAAAATGGATCAATTGAGCAATCTCCCCACCACCATTCTCGTGAAGGGGGACGCCAAAATTACAATATCAAAGCTCAAAAATTACACTCAGAGTGAAAAAAAGGATCAATAAAACTGAGGCGACTTTAGTCGCATAAAGCGCCTTTATTCTGTCTCAAATGAATAAAGAACAATTTTTAATGTGCTGCGGAGAACAGTTTTTGATATTCAGATACAAGGCTAGAGCACCAACCCTGGTAAGTTGTTGGTTTTTGTTAGCAAAGTTTTCCATCTGCAAGAAATGTTGACCTAAGTTTTATCCTCATTGCCCTCACTCTAAATATAAAGCAGACGAAATCATTGTTTCGACTTTCGTAACGAAAGTAACGGAATATTTGTGCTCCAAAAGATTTACATTTTGGCCAATTAGGGACAACTAACGCGCGATATATTTCGCGCTATTTACGCGTAAGCGGATATTTAATAGGTCTTAAAAATTGTTCCAATTTGTTTGAACGAAGCTTGCTTGCCAAAATTGAGTTGTAAATAGGAGCGAAATTTATCACTTTGATTTTTTTATAAGGCGTGTGGGGGGTGATTTTCACAAACAATCTCAAATTCAAAAAAGCTTTTTGTTTCTAATACATTTAATTTTTTCCATGCTATTACTGCTCCGTAGACCGTAAAAGACAGTCGGAACATTCAGGGTTTTGCCCTAATACGAGCAGTTTTGTTATAAATATGTTCTCGAGGTGGGTTTTTTCTTCAGACAAACTTCGGTTTTTGAGCTAGCCATTTTTGAAGGAGTTTTATAATATCATTGAAAAGGTATTACTGTTCTGAGCTTAACTTTGAAAATATATTTCACCTCTGATCGTTTTTCATAAAGTTATGGGGGTTTAAAGATTGCCATTTTGGCCAATTCGGGACAATTAACGCGCGATTTATCTCGTTTATGGCGTGTACCCGCACTGAGATTCAATCCGTCTAAGAAATTGCTCCAAATTGGTTGATGGAAGCTTACTTGCCATAATTAATTTGTTTCTAGGAGCAAATTTATGACTTTATACTTTATATGGCGGGTTGGGGGATGATTTTCACAAAAAATCTCAAATTAAAAAAAATCGTTTAATTTTTTCTTCATTTTTTTCATGTTATTACTGCTCCATAGTCCTTATTTAAAAAGCAAATGGAACTTTCAGGACTTCGCCCTGATACGAGCAGTTTTATTTTTCTTTGATCTCAAAAGATCTTTTGAAAAACTGAAACACTATAAGAGTGATTGATCAATCTCCTTCTGAACAATCTCAAAATTCTCTGACAACTAGTTAAATTTACAATAATTCGTTTAGGGGAAAGTTATAAATTACGATTGGCTAGTAATAAAGACTTTACATTCTACTAAA